AACTGTAGTTCTCAAATAATGATGCTATCATTAGCAAAATTTAGAAAATAAATTGTTCTTTGAAGAGAGGGCAGGTCTTTTATAACATGTTACTTTAAAGTGCTAGTAAAAATTGCTGATAGTTCTGCTCAGCCACTCATGGAAATGGACTGGAAAAGGATCAGTCGAGAGCTATAGAGTAAGAAGACTTCTGTATCAAAGATGCACCAGGACCACAGTTTGATTAAAGAAAGAATGTAGAAGGAGAAGACAATTAAGACAAGAGTGTCTGAAAAGCTGCACAAAACAGACAAGAAAAGAAATAAAGATCAGAAAAAGAGATCTGAGAGAATTAGGAAGAACTAGAATAACACATTCACAGAATCCGAGGGAGACTTCATTCAACAAATTATCTGTTGTTGAGCCAATGTACCATGTGAGGGTTCATGCTAGATGCTGGGGATACAAGGTAGGCAGAACACAACAGCTCTGCTCCCATGAAGTTCATAGTTTTCTAAGGAGTGTTGACAAACAGCACAAAGCATCACAGGGAGTCTGGGATGATGTAAATTAAGACCATTAGGACCTTTAACCAAATGCACACTTCAAAAAAATAAAGAGGTGATTCAATGCCCAAGGATGAATAAATTTATAATGACAGGTGTACTTATAGAAACTTAAGCCACTTTTAAGGATGGCAAGGGCCCATGGAACAAAATATACACTCATCCTCCCATCCTTCTTCCCTCCTTCCCCCCCTCTCACTCTCTGGTCTGTCTCTCTCACACACATACACACACTTCAATCTGCTTGAAATAAGAAGGAAAGCTATTAAGTAAACAAGCACACTCTGCTATGAAATACTGAAATGTAGTATTATCCACATGTTCTAGAAAACCTGTGAGGACAAGGAAAACAAAAGGACAAAGAAGAGAAAGAAGAAGAACCAGCAGCAGCAGCAGCAACACCACCACCACCATATACTTCATCTTCAAACGATTCAACCACTATTTGATCTACGATTCTGCAGAAATCTTGCACACACATTTTATCTTACATGGCTCATTAATTTCCAAACCATCCATAGCCTTATTTTATGAAACACTGCATAAGAATTGGCAAAAAGGGGAGCCTGGGTGGCTCAGTGGGTTAAAGCCTCTGCCTTCAGCTCAGGTCATGATCCCAAGTTCCTGGGATGGAGCCCCGCATCGGGCTCTCTGCTCTGCGGGGAGCCTGCTTCCCCCTCTCTCTCTGCCTGCCTCTCTGCCTACTTGTGATCTGTCAAATAAATAAAATCTTAAAAAAAAAAAAAAAAAGAATTGGCAAAAAAAAAAAAAAGGCACAGCAAAAGGAGGAGAGGGGTTGCTTAATTTTAACACTTGGATCATATCATTTGCTTAGTACCTTCTTATATTTAATGACATGAATAAAACAGAATAATTCCTGTGTGATAAAAAGCTTTTCCTGGGTTATTCAGCATACACAGACTTTTCACTGTGACCCATGTGGAATCACTAATTTGGATTTGCCTTACCCTTAATAATACAAAACAAGCTGGAGCCATCATACATCTGTCAACAATACAAAATCACAGAGGTTTTTCACTCCAGTATTGCTGGTTTGCAAACCCCGGACCTTCCCTGGGTAAAATCTGAAACAGGCCTCCATACACAGAGGACAAGAAGACCAAAGAAAGAGGCAGACCACTCCACACTGGGAGGTGGCAAATGCAAAAAGCAAAGAAACTTACATAGGCTTGTGGTAGGGGCTCCAGGAGAAGATCTCCAGCCCCCCAGCCAGAAACTTATAAGTTCATATAGAGTCCTTAGAAGAGCTCAGTCACACACACCATCCAGATGGCCTCAGCAACACCTTTTTCTCTCAAGACTATGTCCTTGAAAACAGTTCCTGCTTTGGCGGGCAGAACATACATTCCAAGGGCAAGGGAGCAAGAGAGGAGCCTCCAGTGGTCCAGGTCTAGCTGCTGGATCCAACAGTAGTCACGTCCTCTAACAATGACTGAAATGTCCATGCATTTCCCTCCCCACTTTTAGCTGTAGACTACATCACATAACATATGCCATCCCTAAGTTAGATGGCACAAATTGAGGACACCGATGAATAATCTTACAGGGTTGTTTTTTTTTTTTTTCTTTTTTAACTCCGACCTTATTTCTGATTCTCTTTCAAATATACTGCTGAATTATCATCTCCCTCTGTCTCTCCACTGGTAGCAGGATTATGTTTGATTTCATAGCCAGGGAGCAAAATAGTAAGAATAGACAATTTTGTGAAAAATATATTCTGGGCAGGCTTTTGATATAATGTGGAAGCTGGTGACAGGGAGGCTAAAAGTGAGCACCACAATTTTTAAGAAACCTTTTCTATTTGTACTTATTTACGAGATGTCCATTTTCTGCACTGTAGCATTAACAGTGTTTCAACTACAGGGGTTTAGAGGTGATGTTCATCAGTTAGCATACTAAATACATTGCCCACTAAAAGAGAGCAGAGAAGAAACTTTTTTAGGATATTTTAAAGTTTGAGTAACCCAGTTCAACCCTGCTCCCATCTTCTCTACATTTCCCTCCTATTTTTCCTTTCATGTGGTTTTCTCCTTCATCTTTCAGCAAACCACTTTTCATAGCATTCTGGCTCTAGAGTCAGGTCATAAAACACACATACACACACACACATGCTTTTCTCTAATTCCTGATTTCCCTCTCATCTTTATTCATTCTTCTCAGTCTGATCCCCCAGTTAAATTTTGTTTCAGTTCTGATTAAATCATTTTATAAACCTCCATCCAAGAGGCATATATTCAAGGGAAAACCATCATGGTCATGTTAGAAGTTATGCAAATGTCTCACTCATTTGAAAGCAAACAAGAAATCAGGAGCTATTGTTTTAAAAACAAGAACTGAAGGTAGAGTTCACACCTTTAAAAACGACAGTCCTTCCTTATCCCAAGATTAAGGAAGACCATTCTATATCTGAGCACAAATAACCAAAGTATTTAAGCATGTATTTGGTGGAAATAATGTAGACTACATATTCAGGGGCTCATTCTCGAATAATATTAACAAAACAAGAACAAAAAGGTGCTCCAAGCTCCTTTTCCTTTATTCTTCTCATATGACAATTAACTCTAAAAACATGCAACACAATTCAAGAAACAGGTGTCAAATCACTTCAAGCCAGAAAAATCTTCACTTTTGGTCTCACCTTACCCAAGATATAAATCGACATCTTTCTATTCTCCAAAGGAACAATGAACACATGCTGATTTTAAAAATGATACTAAAAGTATTTTTTTAATGTATCATACTCCCCAGATGTGATTTCATCTTTGTTTCCATTTTATCTAACAAATAGAAATTATGGCCACCTGTGGCACTGTGAATAGACTGGACAAGCTGATTCTATCCCCATCTGGCCAATTAAAGACTAGGCCCAGCCAAAAAGCTGTTACCAGTGAGTAGCTAAGCAATGCAAGCCACCCTTTTCTCCAGACTTTCTTTTACTAATCTATCTTCAAGTTCCCACTGCTGTCTTGTGCATGAGTGCAGTTCCTAAAAGGACATGTAGCTCTCTACCTTATTCTTTGCCAAAAGAACAGCAAAGACAGAGACCCTATAAACTCAACGATTTACTTAGCCCTCTACAGTTAAAATGCCATTCTGGAAAAAATCCAATTTCTTAACGATTTTCAGTATCCCTCATAAAATATATCCTAGACATACTTGGTTCATAATGAGAGAACTATTGCCATAAGTGAAACCAGAACTAAACATCAGTACAGGTCAAAATTGGGACTTTAAAGGTAATGGTCATATTCTTTTTTTTTTTTTTTTTCTCCAGCCTGTAACAGGCTAAGACTTTTCTCTTTAAAATGTCAAATAAGGCTGGTGTCCTCCCAGTTACAATGACCTTAACAATATATTAGAGAGGGAAGACAAGAAAGGAAAAATGTCCATATTTCAATGTTCAAATTAGAGTGACAGACTCAAGTTGTCTGAAGTGACTCCATTTCCCTGGATATAAACAAGTAGAATGTGGAAATACCTCCTTCCCTGCAACTCAAGTCCAAGCGTGTCATCCTATAAATCTATGCTAGAGCCATATGTACGACCCCTCATCTTATATAACCTGGGAAATGTCCAGCTCTCCATTAGCTTCATATGTCCTGCAACCCCCTTCATTCTGTTTACGGCTCCTCTAAAGCACTTATACATGGGAGCCACCTAAGAACAAACTGATTCAACCAAAGGCGCTGTGGGGGGTGGGGGAGGCGGGATATCTCATCCCGTTTCACGATGGATCCCACTAAACTCATCAGACCATGTCCTTCCCTTGCTTTCGCAGAATATAGGCTACTCTGAAAGCCAAACACCTTGCAAAAGAGGGCCGGGTACCTTTCCAAGGCTGTACTGTATATAAATTATTTCCAAGTGTCACTGAAGACCATTTTCTCTGAACACACTAAACTGAGGCTGGCAATAAAACAAGACGCACGCTCCTGCTGAAGAATCTGACCCGAGAAACATTCCACCTGTATGTTACCAGGAAACCAAAATAGAGTTTTAATGAAGAAATGTTTGGGAGCATAAAGGAAAAGTGGATGGAGAGGATCAATACTATTTCAGCTCTTTTATCCCCAGGTGTTAGGGGAAGGAAGTGTGTGCTCTGCAGTCATCTGGCCGATGCATAAACAACATGGGAAATTTTCAGAGAAGGCAAAAGTAGGCACAGGATCAGATCGCAGGGGACCCCGCCACCAGCGAGTTTCACACACACTTCAAACAGCTCTTCTTCCCGACCTGGACCTTGCGTGCACCCCCCGTCTCCTTGGTACCCCCATTCCCGCCGCTCCCACCTCCCCTTCCCAGTCCCGCCTGGGTGGCCGTCTCTCATGCAGCAAAGGCAACAAGCGTCCCCAGCCGAGGAAGGGGGTCCCCGTCTCAGCTCGCGAAGGAAGGAGGGGAAGAAGGGCGCCCGCTCGCATGCTTAATGCATCCTACCGCCTGTGGAGCTCGCCTCCTCCAGCTGAGCCGAGATGCTTTCCACCCTCCTCACATTCATCTTCGGGGACGCAGGGTGCAGGAGCCGGACTCGAGAGGCGGCGGCCCAGAGGCGTGTGTTGGCCGGGTCTGGCCCGGAGGGGACTCGCCGCTCGGCCCGGGGCGTCCGCGGCTCTGGGAGCGCGAGGCGGCGGCAGCGGGCAGGGCGCGCGGAGCGTGCTGCAGGTGCGGCGGAGGCCGGCGGAGGGCGCCGGGGGCGCTGCGTGGCGCTGGGCGGCGGGGGCGCGCGGGCGGCCGGGAAGCGGGCGCCGTGCACTGTACGCCCGAGAGCGCCGCGCCCCCTCCTCTCGCGCGTTTCCGCGCTGTCCCTGCCACCTGCTGCCGAGTCACCACCGCCCGGGGGACTGGCGCGGTGGCTCCTGCGACCGAGCGGCCAGACCTGAAAGAGACCAGAGGGGACGACGGGTTATGAGAGGCGCCTCGGGGACCCCTTCTTGCTGTGCGGCGCCTGGCGGAGAACGCGCAGGTGAATTCCGCAGGGGCTCAACTCGGACAGCTAGACTGGAGATGGTGCACAAAGTTGGGCCGAGTTGGAAGGACACCAGCAGGGAAGCGCAAGGAGATGCCCTTCTCCAGAACCGGGCAGAGAGCCAGGAACTCCTAGAACTCCGAGACAGGACACTTTCCCAGTTGAAGCTAGAACCGGTCATGCGACTTGGCTACGTATTGAGAAACGCTGGCTCTGCCCGCCAGGGTGTGTGGGGACAAGGCCTAGATGAAGAACGCAACCTTGGATGGTAGGGGGTTGGGGGGGGTTGGAGGTGCAGGAGATTGGGAGGCGTTTTGGACAAGCGTCCCTAGGAAGGTTTCATTGGAGGACTCCATGGCAGCAGCAGGGGAGGTATCCCTCACCAACCCCATGGTCATCTGCCCTCTTAAGCAAGCCAAGGCTGGGAATGTTTGGGAAGATAAAGACAAACCAGTAAACCAACTGTGGCCATGGTTACTACTTGAAAAAAAAAAAATAATAATAAATAAATAAATAAAATGCTCACTACAGTATTGCCAACAATGAAGTGCATGAAGCCTCTTTTGAGAAGAAAGGTCAAGTTGACCAGTTCTCTCCGCAAAAGGACTTGACATTTCCTCTGGGTTGAAGCCATTTCTAAATGTTTGCAAAACCGTCCACTTTCCCTGTAGACACACCCCACCCCCCATACACACACTGTCTCCAGATGAAATCCCCCTTACTCCAACGTCTCCACTGGCATTTTCTTGCTCTACCTCCTCTCCCCAATCCCAGGAGTGACTCACTTGGGGTCTTGTGAGGTCTCTCACTTCTCTTTTGGTTCATGGTTAAGGGGATTGATGCTAACACCACCAATGCTTGGGGTCAAATCCTAGTTCCACTAATTTTATGACTTGGTGCAAATTATTTACATCAGCTGTAACAATGGGATAATGATGGTACCTATTTTACTGGTTCGTTGTGAAGATTGAAGGTAACTGATAGATGTAAAGTGCTTAGGGCTGTGCTTGGCACACAAGAATCTCTAATTCTATGGCAACTCTTTCCAGAAAACAATCTCACAACTTGTACTGTTAGATGATCACTAACACCTACCCAGCTCTACATTCCATCATTTTCCATCATATGACATCTAATGTGACCTTTGTGTATTGATTGGAGTCCAGGAGCCTGGGTGAGAATCCCAGTCCCAACTGTTAGTAGCTGTGTGTCCAAGAGCTAATAACCACCCTTTGTCATCTCAACAATGTAAAAAATATTAATGTCTACTTCAGTTAGCTGTTGGAATCAATTAAATAAAGCAATGTATGTAGAGTGTTTAGAATGGCTCCTGGCACATAAGGAAAACTCAGTAAGAGCTACCATCATTATTATCAACATCATAAGAGTTAGCAGCCGTCGTTATATTTAGTTAGGATGACTCAAAGAAGAAAAGGCATCACTGCATTTTCTTTGACAGGTCTACCAAACCTTCCTTCACAGTGTGGGAAGCAATATACAACTCCTCTTCCATCTACAAAATACACAGAACACTGTGTGGGGCCAACTCTCTTCTCAAGTCTTGTGAATTGAGCATCTGTCTGTTCTGATCCTACAAAGTGTCTATCCCTGGACTAGTTGTAAAGAAGGCAACAAAATCAGGTAAAAAGGACACTGTGCTCAATAAATTTGCCATATATTGTTTCCAAAGTATTCATGTGGGAACTTAGCTACCATGAAATTCATTTTCAGAACCTCTTTACACAACTCCTCCATCAATCCCAGATATCACAGGGAAAGCCATCTTTTTGTTGCCAACCATTACTGTTATCCCTGATATTTGGGACTAAAGGGCCAGGGTGACTGCCTGGCTTGTGCGATCTCCCTACTGGCACTGTAGATGTCTCGTATGGTGATAGAGAAGGGGTACATGTGCCATACCAAGTCCTGCCATCCCATTGCTCCTCCTTAGAAGCTATGACACTTCTAGTCCCTACCCCAGTCCAGCCCACCAAGACATAAATGCGCAAAGATGCCCACATTTTCTATAACTAACCTTAGGGTACTCTTCATGTAACATGGATACATATTGTTGCCTCTAGGAATGATGTTTTAAAAAATGCAGAGAAGAACAAACTCGTTCCCTCCAGCAACGACATTTTAAAAAATGCAGAGAGTAGTAAACTCATTATGTGCCAGCCTTTAAGCTTAGATTTTATAAACGTCATTTCATTTCATCTTTGCAAAACGCTACAAAGTAAGCCATGTTATTATCCCTATTTAACTAGTGAAGAAGTTATGACTCAGAGAGGTGAACAGGTTTGTCAGCTTAACACCAATAGCAATCGTGATCTCTGGGATTTGAGCCCACCAGGCCAACTCAAGAGCTCCCAAACTTAATTAATACACTATACCACAACCATAAACTAGGATTCGGATGCTCTGGGCTCTGACATTTCCCAGCTCTATGCCCTTCAGAAAATAACTGATCATTTCTAAGCTTCAGTTCCCCATCTGCTAAAAGGGGAATTTCTGCTGCACAAGGTCATTGTCAGGATCAAGTCAGGTAATGAAAGTGAAAGCTATATATAAAATGTGAAATGTTGGGGAAGCATTTAGCATTACTTTTATTATTGTCCCGATCTTTTATTGCTGATATCATTGCCTGGTCTTTTCTGAAAGCCCCTTCTTTCAGCACAATTCCTTCTTGTGTACCAGGACTCAAACAATAACAATAATAACAAAACTCGTATCTAATATTTATTGAAGTGCTTATAATGCATGTTCTGTGTTAAAAATTCTACATCATTATACCACTTAATACTCCGAAGAATTACTGCATGGAGTATTTTTGCCCTAATTTCAAAATAAAACTCAGAAAGGTTAAGTAGCCCAAGATCAGCCGGCTGCAAAGAGGTGCTGCTGTGAGATGTGAAACCACACCATTAAATGATAAGACTGGAGCTTTCAGTTTCTACCTGATCATTCTCAAACTTTATCAGACCTAAGAATCCCTGAAAGGCTTGCTTTGGAAGCCTCTGTTCCCCAACCTCTTCAGTGGAGTCACTGCGTTTAGGAGAGACGTCTTGGGATCTAATTTTTGCTTAATGGACTATATTTTATTATTTTTAAAGATTTTATTTGTTTATTTGACAGAGATCACAAGTAGGCAGAGAAGCACGCAGAGAGAGGAGGAAGCAGGCTGCCTGCTGAGCAGAGAGCCCGATGTGGGGCTTGATCCCAGGATCCTGGGATCATGACCCGAGCTGAAGGCAGAGGCTTTAACCCACTGAGCCACCCAGGTGCCCCTAGACTATATTTTACAGCAGGATTAGGTTTACAGTGTTCCCCTATACCCCCTTCTACTCCCTCTCCTCCCCACCCCCTGCCCAGCTTCCCCTATTTTAATATCTTATTTTATCTTTAATATCTTTGTATTACTTTATAAAATATGTATATATTACTATATAATATCTTACTTTATCTTTAATATCTTTATATTACTTGATAAAATATTTACACATATATTACTATATAGTATTTTTAGCTTACTTTATGAAGATATTAGATCCCTTAATATCTCATCAAAGGGGCTACATTTGTTACAATTGATGTCGCATTATTATCAACTAAAGTCCATAATTTAGATAGGATTGGTGGCCTTATAAGAAGAAGACATATCACTCAGAGGAAAGGCCATGTGAGGACAAAGCAACCATTCACAAGTCAGTAAGAGAGAGCCCTCATCAGAAATCAAATCCTGCTAGAAATTTGATCTTGAACTTGCCAGTCTCCAGATCTGTGAGAATATAAATTTTCATTTTGAATCCATGCAATCTGTGTTATTTTGTTATGGCAGTCCGAGCTAACACACACCTGAAGACCTTACTTTGAGAAATCACAACCCTACCCCAAAAGTATGTGGTCTGCCATCCAGCAACATCTGTATCATCTGGAAACTCATCATAAATTTAGAAATTCAGCCCTGCCCCAGACCTCCTGAATCAGTATCCTCATTTTAAAACATCCTCAAGTGGTTCCAGACATGCCAATCAAAATGTGAGACACTCTCCTCAATAAGACACTGGTGTAGTTTACTTGGGCTCCTTGGAGGCAATCAGCACTCCCTGGGCATGAGAGGAGGCTAGTGTTATAATCACAACCAATTCACTTCATGGCATCCCCCATCCCCACCAATGAGACAACCCTGTTTCCCTTTTTGCCAGTCTCTACTCAAATGGATAGAATTGTTTATTGCCTAGTTAAGTTTCAAGCAGCAAATATCCTCAACCTTGGTCATCTGACTACACCTGCAAATTTCTTTGCAATTCCTGATCTCTCAGTATTACAATAACTGAGGAAAAAAATCTCCTTTGAGATCTTCACATTCAAAGGAATATTAACATACCATAAAACAAAAAAAAGGTAAACATTTCAGGGCAGGAAGGTTCATTCTGACATTCCTGTAGAATTTTTATATTCACTAGCTGATTTGATCTTCTACCACTCTGAAAAGTAGGCAATTCAGATTTTATTATCCCCATTTTGTAGATGAAGAAACTAAAGTCAATGGCAAGTAAGAAACTTACTTGAATTTTTACCAGGAGCATG